TATATAATTGTTTCGTACCAACTAACACCATTCCATTTCATTATTATTAACATTCCATACTGTTCATCAGCAGCTACGGATACATTTTCAAGGCTCCTGATACTGATTATTTTAAGAATGATTTGATGAATATTATCTTAAATAAAAACAAAAAATCTAAAATATATTTCTAATCATTAACCAAACATCATCAACAACACCATTAGTCCAGTAAAAATTTTGATTCTGGTGACTGACATCCCAAACATGATTCTTGTGAAATAGAACAAAGAAATGAAAATTTTAGCATAATAATAATTATGAATACCTGATATTTAGACTAATGCACCATCAACTTTTACCATTCTAAATTGAAGAAACTTAGTATTGAAAGTACTATAAAAATATCAACAAGATACACTACGTATCATGGTTATAAAGATTTTTTCGTTTTTGTTGGGTTTGGGTCAAAATCCCGACAAGCGAAATCCCGACAGGTCATAATCTCGACAGTAAAAATCCCGACAATCAAAAATCCGACAGTTAAAAATCCCGACAATTAAAATTTCTGATGAAAAATATCATAAACCATAGCTAATTTTAGCATAACTCTTATCTAAAGTGACCTAACCCTAAAGTTAATTAAATTATAAGAGGCTACTTCGCTTTAAACATACTCATATTTTGGATTTTCTACTTGGAAATTCTGACTGTCTAGATTTTGACTGTCGAGATTTTTTTGTCGGAATTATGACCTGTCGGGACTGTGCTTGTCGTGATTTTACTGGCACCCGTTTTTGCTGACGTCCCATCAACATTGATGGCAGCCCCGTTGATTTGACGCCAACTTCCAGAATAGTATTGTCAGGAATAAAGTTAGACTTTTATAACTTTACATATGATGTACACAAGGAAAAGATAATGCTTAGGATTCTTGGCATATTTTCACTAATATTTAAAATTTTATAAATTTAATTATTTTATTCTAAACCTGTCTAGGCTAGCCTAAAATTTATACCTATATAACGGAATAGGCTTGACAAATGTTAAATTCCGTTATGAACCTATTTTCGTTATACATAACATGGCCTTTTTATTAAACCCTTTATAATTTTCTATTAAGAATTTGGTAATTCAAATTTGGCGTAAAGATGTCAGTTATACATATCGATAGCTAATTGTATTAAATATTTTGAATAATAAGCTCTTATATACTATGTGTAATATCTCTAAATCTAAATTCAAACATATCGATACAAATTTAAACAATCCTATCAAGAGTAAGAACCCAAGCTAGTTACCCCAGCATACAATACAATAAATCTTATTTCTAAAAAACAAGCTCTGTTGAATATCCGAAGCTAAAAATTTTATTAAATTTTATTAAAGAAGTTACTAAAAATAAAAATAGGATCACACACGTATCGGTATATCGCCCTTCTCTTTCTCTACGCCCCGGACAATAGGTCGCTAATTCATGTGCATAGTTTTACATATAGTTATTGCTTGCCTGCCATCATAATGTTTATGAAATATTCAATTATTATATACTAATTTATTCCAACTTTTTATAGCACTTACATTATATTACAAATGCATACTGATCTCTATATTTCAGATTATATTCGGTTAATCGATTATAATCATCGCTGTAATCGAATCGATTTTTCATTTATCTGTAACTCGATTTTCTCTGCCGCATTTATGGTGGCTCACTTTGTACGTATGTATGTACGTACGTACGTACGTACGTACATGAAAGTTGCTAATACGTATGTCGATTTTACGTATCAGGCACCCGATTTGTCACATCTAAAATTTTGTCATATGATTTTCATAAATTACACAAATCGACGAAATTACATTTT